TCATACACTATGCCACGGACTACACTGCGCTCGAAGCCGACACAGAGAGTCGGAGTCGAGACAGAGAGGCGCAATCTAGAAGCGCAGAAGGGAAAAGAGGAGGCGTCAACAGTGCAGCAGCGGCGGGACGGCGGCGCCGTTAGTTGTACCCGTAGAGCTTTAGCCGGGACTTGATCTTGTCCACCTCTTTTCCGGTTAATTTCCGCCCCGTAGCCGCCTCCTTCTCCGCCACCTCCTCTGCGAGCACCTCCTTGAGGCTGGCCTCGACCATCATAACCGGCTCGACGGGCTCCGCAACGGCAGCCATTCCTGGTAGCGGCGTGTCCCGGCGCTCGCCAACGGGCTGCGAAATGCTCGAGATGCCTGCTGCATCGCGCACGGCAGAGCGAGCCGCGGCCGCCGTGTCGACGGCGCTCTGCGTGAAGCGTGCATGCGCAACAAATGGCTGAAGCGCGAGTGCCGCCGCGGCGGCACGCCGCGTGGATAATTTAAGGTGCAGCGCGCCGCATGGAGCCGCCGCGCAGAGCAGCACAGCGAGCTGCACTCCGATATGCTTCATGAGAGCTAGCGAGCAAAAGAATTCTGACTTTTCCAGAGAATTCCTTCTGGCCTTCCGACTTAGTTCATACCCGAGCGAGAATCGGCGAGGGACTGCGAAGAGAGATAGGAAGAGGCAAACGCCCAAGGGTGGGCGACGGCTAGCACCACCACACTCCTCTCCTTAAAATCCCAAAAAAACACAAGGACTGGTACGCGCACCAGGAGCTCGTCAAGGCGCGGGATGTGCACGTCAAGAACAACCCGTCCCTCGGAGACAGCGCCGTCAACAACCGCGAAGCCGCGCGCTTCGTCTCCGCCTCAACGCCTTTCGCCGGCAAGGCCTTCGATGTCCGTGTCGACGGTACGTACGCCACCGCCCTCTCCTCCGACACCCTCCAGGACGAGCTCCAGCGGAAGCTCGGCCTTTGGCTCTCCGCGGCGCTTCCCACCCTTCGGGTCGCGCTCGAGCGGGGCATGCCAGTCGATTTCTTCGGCGACTACCTTTACAACAAGGCCCACCACCGGCGGCCCCACGACGGCGTCCTCGCCGCCTGGGCGGACGCGATGCGCGCCCCGGCCAACGCGCCGGTCGTGCACGGCGACAAGGAGAAACCAGAGCTCACCCGGCAGTACAACGAGGGGTACAAGGTCGACCTCGCGGAACCCCACGCTGGCCCGGGAGGATGCGATGAGGTGAATGAAGTCAAGCTCTGGACGCCCCTCCTCAAGACCTCCTCGGCGGGCGTTGGTAACGCCTCGAGCGGCGGCACGCCCGCCTCCGTTGGCCACTCCTACGCCTTCGGCAACACCGAAGAGAAGGCCCGCCGCCTAAACATGGGCTGCAAGGCGCGCGGGCAGCCCGGCCAACCCTTCTCCCACAAGACCGGCCACGGCTACGTCAAGGCGCATCGCGGTTTCTACCACGACGCGATCTTTGTCAAGCGCAACAACTTCACCTGCTGCTC